GGGCGGGGAGGGTGGGTGCGCGGTCGGGGAGCGGAGGGTGCGGTAGAGGTGGCCTTTGAATTGCAGGGTAGCGCGGGCGGTGCCCGAGGTCGGGGTGAGGACCTGGATTTCGTCGACGAGCATGACGAGCGTGGCGTCCGGGGGGGTGGTTTCTGCTGCTGCTGCTGCAGCTGCGGCGGCGGCGTGGTCCGCCGGTGGGGTGGTGGTGCGGAGGGGGTCGCCGACGCGGACCATCTCGGCGCCGAGGTAGACGCCTGTGTAGTGCTGGACGCGGAGGGCGCCGTCCGGGGTGGTGCCCTCGGCGAGGAGGTCGAAGGTGGAGAAGGTGTCGTTGATGGCGCGGGCGCCCATCTTTGAGGCTTCGAGGCCGAGGACTTGTTGGTTGAGCGACTTTTGGCCGGGGTTTGGGTCTTGTGAGTAGCGCGCGGTCAGGGCATTCCAGTCGACCGTGTCGAAGGTCTTGTCTTTGAGCTCATCTATGCCGGCGTTGGGCACACTAAACGTGAGGAAGGGCCGCATTGAATTGCAGTCTTTGGTGAGGACTGGCTGGGCGAGGAGGGCGTGGCCTAGCGGCGCGAGGGTGAAGTTGTAGTAGGAATCGGACGCTCCCTGGGGTGGAGGGGGCCCGGGCTTTGCGGCGATGTTGAGGATCACGCCTAGCCGCCAGGCCGTGTGTTTGTACCAGACCAGTTCGCCCAAGCGGAAGACGTTGGTCAGGCCGGTTGTGCCCGGGGGCGGGAGACCCTGTTGCGGCGGAGGTTGCTGTGGTTGCTGATGTTGTTGCTGATGTTGTTGCTGGTGTTGTTGCTGATGTTGCTGCTGAGGTGGAACTACCCTGGGGAGCTGGGCTGCCATATTTGCACCAGGTCCTGGAGGGTTGGCATAGAAGGTCGGCGGCGTCGCCGTAGGTTGCGGGACCGGCGCTGGCTTGACCCTCTCGAGATACTTTGGACATAGATCGCAGGGACACTGGCTGTTGTCGGTTGAGCTGCTGACCAGCCACAGGGCGTGCAGGGCAAACTCTCCCGGGGTGCGGTAGTTCGCCTTAGGTCCCGCCGGGTGGCCGTAGAGGTAGTAGTCCCTGCCGCCGTCCTTCCGCACGGCGCATCGGAGCTCGTAGCCCTTGGGAAAGGCGGCGAGTTTGTATTGCCGCTCTGGGATGGGTCAGCGTCTGATCGGCACAGAGAACATGGTATTCTTGAGGCTCAAACACACTGTCATCTTTGGGGCCGATCTGGTTCTGGAGATGACCGGCGACGATGACCTCCCATCGCTCGAGCTGTGTCACGTCCTGGTCCTCGTTGGGGGCTAGTGGACTGTGGTCCAGATTCTGGTACCCTTGCCCATCGCTACGCGCAATCTGTATGGGCCAGTACTCGGCGCTCGTATCGCTCTGCGCGGCCGAGGATGCCATGGCTGGACTGTTGGGGACTTGGATAACAATGTGGCCCGTGCAGTGTTTTGGGAGTCTGGAGTCGCAGAGTTGGATTGAGCAGGCGGCACGTGGAGGTCACCAGCGATTGAAAAAGACCCACCTTTTCTCAGATGTGCAGTTCCATGGCTTCACCTCAGCCCTCCTTCCATAAGTTGAAACCCCAACAGATCTCTTGTTGGAAGGTGTTAATGTCAACCATGTGTTTCCGTCACAAGCCTTAATCTCCCACTAGGAACAATCGCTACCTGTCATGTTCAAAGCGAAAGCACATCTCAGAGTCTTTGTTTGCGATTCTGCACCTGGCGCGCCGAGAGATACTCGACTCAACTCCCTTGCACGCATTGCTGTGTTTCGAGTTTCACTCCCCAATTCCGTTCATACCACCATCTCCCTGCGGCCTCTTTCCCCTTCGGCCTCATCCGCCCGCCCACCGCTGTGCCATCCCCACAAGGACTCTGCTACCGAGTCAGTTGCCAAGCATCAAGGCAACTTGGCCGAGCGGTCTAAGGCGCCACGTTAAGGTGTTAAACACTTAATCATTATCCGTGGTCCGAAAGGGCGTGAGTTCGAATCTCACAGTTGTCAAGCTTATCTTTTGCCCATCAATCAATTGGGGATAGATAGCGCGAGCGCTGATGTCTTTTGCGAATGAGACCTACCTACTGTATGTATGTTGTAACTACCTAGCCTCCTAGCTTTGTCTGGCTTGTAGCGATTGCGTCTGCACAAACCACAGAACGGTAACTGTGCGCCGAACGTCTATCCGTATGCAGAGTCAAAAAGGCCCGAACCGTGTGCCAAGAGACAGGGGAGAGAGCCCGGCCGATGTCGAGATTGATTTCCGTGCTGCCGGGCTGTGATGACGGCATGCGTGTGATTGGCCGTCAAGTCAAAGCCGACGACGATGTTGGAAGTAATTGTCCATGGCGCCCACCATCGGGCGGTGAACAAAAACAGACAAGCATGATCAGGGCCCGAGGCTGAAAGATGCCGCTGCGCCGTACATGTTGACCGTGCGCTGCTAATCCTACATCGCAGCCGGCAGACGTCCCGAAACAAGCATTTTTCCCATTGCCAGAAAAAGCGAGAGTGTTGTTGGCTCATCATCGCGTTTCGAAAGCCAGTGTCATCGGCAGGCTCATCGGCAGGCGCATCGGCCAACGTCGGCCGGCAGGGGTTTGCTTGAAGCAATCGCGATCGCCGAGGGCCTTGTTTCCACCTTGTTGGTCCGGCCCAGCGACTGTCCGGGGAGAAATCCTTGGGGACTCATTTCGCGTCCATCTCCAACTGCAGCCGCCATTGGGTCATGCAGTCTGCAGTCTGTGCCTGACTGGCCCCCTGTCGATGCGCCCGCAGTGCCGAGATGAGATGCCAGGAACAAGGCGCAATCGCGCCGCTGATTGGGCCGTGGCCTGAGACTATTGAGACGGGGGTCGCTGTTGGATCCTCTTGCCGGCCCACCTGTTGCCCCCGGGCCCCCCAGAAAAACATGGGAGGGCCCCTTGTTGAGACCGGCCATCGCGCTCTTTGCCTGCTTTTCGCACCGCACCACACCCACCACCTTTCTGAGGGCATTCTCTCTTTTCCCAGTCTTCGTCGCTCGTTTGGTGATTTCTGTTCCGGATACACACGCCCGTTGTCTACACATACCGTTGCACCTCACAACTTGCCAACACGCTCAGCTTCATACGCCGTTCCGTCCGCGTCCGAGCCGCATGATATCGAGGCATTTTCGGCCCTGAAGTAGTTCCACCAGGGGTCTTGTGCAACCAACCCACCGAACTCAGAACATAGATATCACCACCGTTTTCGTCTCACAACACCGCCCCTCCCAGATCGCCAGGCCGGTCTCCCACCACCGAGCCGATGAGGTTCGCGACGCTCCAGGCCGCCGCCATCGGCGCGGCCTCACTTCTCTTCCCCGGCCAGGCCCAAGCGGCCTCGATCCGCCATGGCCACCGGCAGGCGCACGCGCTGGCACACGAGCAGCAGCAGCCGCAACAGCAGCACGGGAGGCGAGATGCCCACGGCTACCACCACACGGAAGGGGAGCTGCTCGGCGCGCCCAAAGCCGCAAGGAAAGCAGCGTGCGGGCTGCCCAACCACCCGGATCTGGTGCGCGTCCCCGGCGCCGACAACAACGGCTTCGCCATGAGCCCCGACGAGCCCTGCGAGGACGGCAAGTGGTGCCCGATCGCCTGCGTGCCGGGCAAGGTGATGGCGCAGTGGAAGCCGAACACGACTTATGCATATCCCGAGTCGATGGTGGGTGGATTATCTCTGGTCTCCAAATCCGGGTGACGATATTGACGAAGCTCGTAGTATGGCGGGCTGTATTGCAACCGCGGAGTGACTGAGAAGGCGTTCGAGGACGAGCCCTACTGCGTGGATGGCACGGGGGCTGTGAAAGCCGTGAACAAGGCCGGGAAGATTGTGTCGTTCTGCCAGACGGTGCTGCCGGGCAACGAAGCCATGATCATCCCGACCGACGTCACAGACACTGTAACACTGGCTGTTCCGGGACCGTCCTACTGGGCGGGGACTGCTGCACAGTGAGCAAGCACCCTGGTGGCCCATCAAGAATGGTTGGCGCTGACTTTCTCTCAGCTACTATGTCAACGCGCCCGGGATATCGGCCTCGGAGGGCTGTGTATGGGGAACGGCCAGCAAGCCGATCGGGAACTGGAGCCCCTACGTCGCCGGGGCCAACACCATGGGCAACGGCGAGACCTTTGTCAAGATCGCCTGGAACCCAGTCTTCCTCGACGCCGCCGTGTCGAAAACCACGCCCCAGTTCGGCATCAAGATCGAGTGCCCAGGGGGCGGGTGCAAGGGGCTGCCCTGCAGCATCGATCCGTCCAACGGCGGCGTCGGCTCGCTCGACAGCCCGGTTGCCGCCTCGGGAGTCGGCGGCGCCAGCTTCTGCGTCGTCACCGTCCCCAAGGGCAAGAGCGCCAACATCGTCGTCTTCAACACGGACGGGTCGTCCGACAAGCCCGCGCCTTCGCCGTCGTCCAAGAAACCGGGCCCCCCCAAGCCCAAGCCAACCAAGGCCCCGAGCGTGCCGAAACCGTCGCCCAGCCCGGAGCCCGAGCCCTCCTCCGCCCCAGCCCCGTCGCCGTCGCCGTCTACATCGCCATCGCCATCGCCATCGCCATCGCCATCCCCATCCCCGTCGCCATCGTCCGCGGCAAAGAAGTCCCCCGTCGTGACGTCCGCCCCCGCGTCGACAACCTCGGCGGCCTTCGTCGGCGGCATCTTCCAGGAGCAGTCCGTGCAGGGCGAGACGACGTACTACGCCGAGGCGCCCAGCGTCACGCCGCAGCCGGCCGCGACCGAGGCCGCCGAGGCCATGGCCGCGGTGCTGACCACGTCCAAGAACGAGGGCATGGCCGCCGAGGGCGGATCCGCCATCGCGGGGCTGGTGGTCGCCCTGGTTGCCGCCGCGGCGCTGCTCTAAGGCGGCGCTGCCGCGTCGCTTCCGGGGTCTCGTTACGCGCCCCCGTTCCGGCCCGGTTCCTTCTCCTGGCGGCTATGGGTGGCGCAGCCCTCTCCGATCTGCTTCGTCGCGCCCGCCCCGCCTGTTCGCGTTTGATTCGATTCGATGTTTCTCGTCCCGGCTGCTGCGATGCGCCCCGCCGAGAGAGCTCCCTTTTTTTACCGACTTTGTTTGTGTGTTCGACTTGGGCTTCGCTTTCGACCGCCCTCCGGGCTGGTTCTATAGACCCCTATATCCGCGCCATCTGCCGTGATTAGTATTTATTGGTATTGCAGCGACCCTGGACCCCCCCGTCTCGACGCTGGATTTTGGCATCTTCGCCACCTTCGATTCCTCGAACCCCCTGTATTTTTTCTTCGACCGCGGCAATTTGCTGTTTGTTACACCTCGTGCGATATACCCCTTTGAGTTTGGTTTTCCGAGTTTGGGCCCCCACGGGCATTGAAATGAGTGTTTTTGGATTGGAGCTTTTGTGTGGTTGGGTTGGCTGGGATTGGTTTATGGTGGTGGGTTAGTGATGGAGGGCGGGGAATGGTCCATCTACGGATGCACGCTGGACGATCGGATGGGAAACGACGTGGTCATCGTCTTGATCGCTCTTCACGCCCCCAGCGACTGGCCAATTGGGGCCGGCTTTGACGAGGAACCTGGGTTATTGCCTAGAGAGAGGGAGAGACGACAAGTCTGTGAATGAAAATGAAGATGATTGACGATACCAAGCGAATTTTGTGCAGCTCGTGAAATATTTGACTGGCGTTTCTTGAGAGAAAAAAACGGGAAGGAGAGTTGGGGAGCTCACCTGTTTGGCGCCACTCAGTGGGACGGATGCAACTTGAATGGACGGCAACGAGACACGACATAGGGCAAGACAGCATAAATGGTTGTGCTACGGCTCCACCAGCCCGCGGCTCTAAGATGGTATCACATAACGCTCTCGTCCAACCATCCATCCAACACTCCCCTGTCGGTCCCGCCGACTTACATGTTGCGCACCCAGCCCGGAACATCGTCCAACTCCCCCGGGGGCTCCGCGTTCTCGCCGCTGTCGCAGGCATCCAGCGCCTCTTGATGCGCCTCCTTGAACCGCTCCAGGATACTCTCATATGGGTTCGGCCAGCCCGCCGCCGCAGCATTGCCGCCCTTCTTCTTGGCGCCCTCCACCGCAAACCGCTTCTGCTGGCGTGCAATAAACCCGTTCAGCAACCCTGCATAAACCAGCCCGGCAACAACCGCCTCGATGCTCTCGAGATCGGGCCGCTTGTTCCCGAAGATCAGCCCCTCGGACGGCATCAGAGTGCGCGGTCCTCCCGGCGGCGGGACGAGCAACGAGTCGGCATCCGTCTCCCCAGCGCTGTTGGTCACGGCCTTCATGAAGAGGGTGTTGATATGCGGCGGGCGGCCCCGCGGCGCCGGCCTGGCGGGGACGTAGCCCTCCAGCAGCTTCTGCACGTACCCCGACGCTGTCACGAGGTCGTCGAGCGACAGCGAGGCGGCCTTGTTGCTCGAGCCGTTCGTGGACCCTTCCCAGGTGAAGAGGAAGGTCTTTCTGGTGAAGGACCGCCAGACCAGGGGTTTCAGGCGGTAGAGGAAGGTGAGGTAGAAGCCCTTCTCCCAGAGCCAGTCGCGGCTGTGGGCGAGGGCGTGGTGGAATGCGACGAAATTGCCGGAGCGGATCGCGGCGCATATGGGGAGGAAGATTCCGGCGAACCCTGCGGCTTCGGGGCGTTGGAGCAAGGTCTGGGAGGGGAAGCGGCCGAGGAGCAGGTTGGTCGGGATCCAGTAGGTGAGGATTTGCCGGCGGTGTTTCTGGAACCGGGCCAGACATTGCCGGTAGGCTTCGTCGAAGCACATGTGTGCTCGCAGGTAGTGGCCGTGGTCGAAGTTGAAGCGGCCGAGGTAGTAGAGGAAGGTGACTCGCTGTGATGCTGGGTACAACGAGAGCGCAGGGCCGCTTGTCGAGAGATTCGTAAACATCTGCACCGCCAGCCGGGATTTCTCGCACTAACAGCAGTCAGTACTTGGAAAGCGGCGTCCCAAGGAAGAATGGTAACTTGCGGCAAAGAGCAGCTTCAGTGTGAGATTTGCA